GTTTAAAATAAAAACAATAATCGTGGCTTGATATTGAGTAAGAACATGTTTTTATGAACCCCACAGCTTCCGGTCTTCCAAGACCCGAACGGACAAAAAGACGTGCTGCAGGCACGAAACATACTACCAATAGAAATACATTGCTTTTAAAATCGTTCTGTGTGACACGAAAAAAAGGGGGAAATCGTGTTGGTGAACACGAATCAATAGATTAAATGTTGTGACTATAACATGAAATGCCGTGAGACTGGGTTGGTGGTATAGCTTCCAGTCATCAACTGCAGAACAAACAGGTTAGACAGCGTGAGGCTCTGATATGCATGAAATAGTGATTATAGCTATTTCTAAAAAGTTTCTCAAATGAAAAATAAATGCATGGCAGCATGACAGCAGTCTGCACAGGGAGTGTAGAGACACCTTGTTGTTGGAGAAGTTACAACCACAATGTGCTCTTTGTTTCTGAGATGAGGGAGGTTAGAGTGACAGCAAATGCTTCAGCTGCTAGTTCTCAGGAACTAAGAATTCAGTCATCACCTTCGTTCATTTTCATATTTTAGGTTTGGTATTTGGACACTGAGAGCAGATTCAATGTCAAATGTGTTGCAAATTCAGATTATGATAAGACTATCATTTATTATATAGGAACACAAAATGCCATGATGCACCGATGTTTCCAATCTTTTTTTGTCTTGATTTATTTTGTAATTGGGGGTGTTTTAACCTTTTCATATGACTAGATGTAATGCCATAATGTAGTGCCACTTCACACATCATTTACAAATCCAGCTAGACAAAGACGCTTGGATCTGTTGCTGCTGTTTGGTGCAAGCACAGAATCCAAACAGAACACCGAGGAAGCTTTACGTGCGGCAGGCATTTCAAACATTGACAAGTGATCATGCTCAGATTCTGCCCAACATGTTAGCTAGACATAACGTAAGCCTGAGGCAGTCCCAGGGACCACCAGTGAATGTGTGTGAAGCAGGAAGGGAACACTGAGCACACGGAAAAACTGAAACGTTGACTTTAATGAAATGTATTTTGTTAACATATTTCACATAACTGTATTAGGTTAGTGGAAATAAATAATATTAAGTTTAAATAAATGGGACATTTGTTGACATAATAGATTTAATTAAAGACAACGTTTCAGTTCCAATACATTACAATACATACATATGTACATACATACACATACATATGCTTAAATATGTTTTTTGGTATGGACGTGAGTTATACTGTAAACTGATCAGAAGTCAGAGAGGAATCTCACATCTCACCAAGGCCAGAACCAACCTTTAGTTCAACATGTCATCTGTTGATTCTGTCTGACCATGGCTTGTTGACAGATGTTTGTTCGTCAGCACATTATATGATGACTCACAGAATGAGGTCATATTTTCTTCATTGTTGTGAAACCGGCTGATCTGATTTGTCATATAATAATTATGACCCCACCCCTGCACCCCCAGCCAGCACCTAAACAACTGAATCGATTCCCCCAGCGTGGGACATCAATATGGCTGAGTGACTGAGTCATGAGAAGTGTGTACATGTGTGTGTGGGAGGGCTCACAGACAGACGCTGGCTGCGGAGGAGCGGGACACTGATGCATGTCCCCTCATTAAACCACATGTGTCTGTGAGGACAGCTACTGTGGGGGCTGAGGGAACACAGGCCCCCTCAGCACTGTAACTGTGTGCAGCTCATTACATCCAGACGACGCTGGCATCTCCTGTTGCAGAAAGATCACACAGTGTGCATGATGCAATCTTGTAAGATCGTGAAGCTTCATTTATCTTTTTCTTCTCTTAGTGCAGTTAAATCTTTTTGCAGAGCTTGCGAGACACTAAACATGTTTGTTTGCACACTGTGTGTCGGCAGTGGACTAGAAGGAAGGGTGGATCGTCAATTATGCACAAGACCAGCGTGGAAGCACTGCCACTCCAGTGGCTAAGAGTGGTTGGAATGCTCCAAAGGTGCTACATATATGCAACTCCATACAAATGGTCAGTTGTGATTTTTAGTTTGATTTCATATCATGTCTTTTTCAGTGGAAAGGAAACATCCCAAACACACAGTCAGGTGTTTTACTTTGCCTATTTGTATCTTTTTTTTTTAATTCAAGTTAGCATTGGATGAAGCTTTGATTTGCATTATTCAAACATACCATTTCAGACATTTTTTATATTTGAAAAACAATGACCTCATTGTTAGTAATCAACTGGGGGAGTTTCAAGAGGTACTCAGATGATTTACTTGGGGGAAAGTAGCAATCCTACAGTGTCAAAATACTCAGTTACAAGGCAAAGTCCTACATTCAAAATTGTAAGTAAAAAAAGTGTTGACACTTCAAAATACTTCCATAGTAAAACTCATAATGCAAAATAGTCATTTTTAACACCACAGACCTTTTTATTATTTTATAAACATAATTGGTGCATTTCTGTGTTGATCATTTCGATGTTGCACGTGGTAACAGCTGAGATGATTTGCCTTCATTGATTCGCTAATGGGGTATCCAACCTCTAGTTATATGACCTAACGTTTGTTGGTTTATATTTTCTAATAACAACCTAAGTCTACTAAGTAACTATGTCAAATACATGTAATGGAATCAAAAGTACAACATTTGTCTACAAAATGTAGAGGCATAATGTAAAAACACTCAATGCTAAATATACAAGAATGACCTCAAGGAGGTTTATTCTAAAGTAGTCAGCGAGTCAATCTTATTTATTGAAATCAACTTGAATGCTCTCCTCTGTGATGTGTACAGACCTAAAATACCTCACACACACAGAACAACCTCTTTGTGAGCAGAGCAAACGTTATGTAACCATGTTTTTGCCATTCTGCTGTTGTTACCTTGTTGTGTTGTGAGAGAGAAAGGTAGCAAAAGATAACAGGAATAAAGGAAGTCATTATTAATGTGAAGACTTCTTTGGGACATCCACAATGGCAGGCAGGCCTTTAAAAGAACTTTGAATGACCTTCAAAAAAAAAGTTGTTTTAAATGCATTAGTTAAGAGTTTGAATATCTTGACAATGTTGGTGAATTTCATATATTTATACAATTTGAGGCAATCTATGAGCGGGGGAATTACTACAATAAAGGCGACTAGAATGTGTGTTTCTATTCAGCCTGTTGTTTCTGATTCTCCACGTTCACAGGAGAGTGGTGTCGCTGCTCTAAAGGTGTGTGTGAACGCTCAGCTTCATTCTGACAGCTCTCTGGGTTCAGTCTTTCTGAAGTTCACCTTTCAGTTTTGATTCATTCCTAAAACAAATGGACAGACATTATGATCATTGTGTGTGATTATCATCAGTAATCAGAGCAAAGAGGTATTGTAGAGCAGAAAGGCTCACGAGGAACCATACTGTCATCATTCTGATCCTTCCACTCCCAAACCAGTTGATTTATTCAAACATTGCATCGCACATTTTTTGTTATTGTAATGAGGGCCATGATATCTAAGGTGAGCCGGAGAAAGAGTGATGCAAAGAAAGTGAGAGGAAAGAACAAAAGGAACCAAGCAAATGGACATGTTTGCCGTAATGAGCGAGGAGTAGAATCAGTGCAGAGCCAACATCATGTGCAACTTGGTCCTTCTATATTTTCCAAAATCAGTGCATATGATGCATTGATTTGAATTCCATCTATTATGGCAACTCATTTCACATCACTGTATGAGGTTAGTTGAAAGCAATAATTTTAAGTTGAACCTAATCTTTTTTTATTCAAACTTGATATTATTGCTTTGATCTTACCTAATGTGAAATCTGTTGACATAATACATTTAATAAAAGTAAATGTTTCAGTTTTTTCATTGTGTATAATATGAAATAAATGATGGAGTGCAGCTGTAGACACTAGCCCCCAGCAGCTGGAGTGTGTGCCTGTGTGAGGGTGAGGGATTGACTCACCCTGAGCTCCTTGAAGAAGATGCAGCTCCGGGCCCACTCCACTATGGAGAACAGAGTCTGGTCGGCCATGCGGCACATGAGGCTGAAGGTGCTGGGCTTGTCCAGCCGAGCCCGGCCGCTCTGCTCCTGCTGCAGGTGGGTCACGATCTTGTTCTGCACCACCAGCTCGTCTGGGTCACAGCGCAGCAGCTCCAGCACTAGCGGAGGCAGGCTGGGGGGCTGAGGCGAGGCCGAGGGGTACATGTCTGGGTAGGGGTATCCTGTCAGAGACTCAGGGGAGCTGGTGTAGTCGGGACACTCGGCTTTAATCGCCCTGCCAGGGAAGGCTGGGTACTGGTACTGAGTGGTGAGGGGCAGGTGGGACTGCATGGCCATGCCCAGGGACGGGGGTCCATAGAGGTTGGTCTCGTAGTCTGTGGGGGTGATGGAGCTCGGGGTGGAGGGCAGCAGGCTCTTGGAGATGGTGGGCAGGCTGTGCAGGGTTCCGGTGAAGCCGTAGTCGCTCTGCAGCGGAGAAGCCGGCGGAGGAGCGGCGCTCTCCAGCTTGAAGCCGCTGGATCGTATCAAAGCTTTCTTCTGCTGCTTCAAGGCCCTGTCTCTCTTGTACATGGGGCCAAATTTATTCCTGCCCCCACGCATGCGGTCTGCGCGCACCGCTGTCACACAAAAGGTGAAGAACAGATGTACAGATGAAACACTTCTGAATGTTTCTACAGCAGAGTAAACACCTAGAATTTGACCAGAATGTCTGTGCTGTCGCGGCAGAGTAAAGAAAAAAATGTTGCTCATTCATACTGCCATGTATAGGGCTGAGAAGAATCTGCAGCTCTGCTCCTCCCTGTAGTCTAAATAGAGCTTTTGATTTAAAACAGGGGAGTCTCTGGGGCTTTATCAGCAAGTTAAGAATGTGTCCTTTTTCTGCTGCGGAAGCAGGTGCTTTCCTGCACCGCTGTCTGGGAATGAATCCCATGAGTAGAGAAAATAATATGAGAGCCCACAAATCAGGAAATATTTAAAAGGTTTTTACAACAGTAATCTACCATAAAACTGAATATAATTATAATGTTAAAAACGTTTACATTATTGGAATTATTGTTGTAACTAAAATACAGTGAAGAAGACATGGAAATAAATATAAAGCCTGGTTTTATTATTCCCCTAAATAAAAGCATTGTAATACATTGATATAGTGACAGTATTAATATCATTATTATTATTATTATTATTATTATTATTATTATTATTATTATTATTATTATTAGTCATGGTGTATTTGAATATCGGGTGGTATATTCATGTGTACCTTCTAGCCGCATCCCGACGTTGAGGCACTTCTGGAAGCGGCAGAAGGGACACCTCTTCCTCTGGGTTTTGTCGATTTTACACTCCTGGTTCTCCGCGCATGTGTACCTCTTGTTGTTCTGCACTGTCCTCTTGAAGAAGCCCTGAGAGGAAGCGGGGGGGGGGGTGGGAGGAACATTTGGACCCAACCACGTGTTCATCATTTCAGAAGAGCGCAACACGTCACGCTTGATAATAGTACGCTCCATAGAAGGCATGGTTGCGTAAAGCAAGGACCATTATTTACCAAATATATGTGATATCAACTACATTAGATTTAACTTTTTTTATTCCCTATAATGAGACAAACACATAAAACCTTGTGAATCATGTTTTATATGGCCCATGAATGAAAAGTGATGATATATCATTCACCTCAGTGTTTTCTGTTCACCCTTGCAGCTCTCGCCAAGGTGAGGCAGGCGCCGGTAGTGGTAGAACCCGTGACACTTTGTCTCCCACACACAAGGACACAGCTCCTCCAGGCATCCAATCATAATGTGTGACTCCATAAGCCTCAAAGTGACACTACAACACACAACAACACAGCACAACACACAACAGCACAACACACACACACACACACACACACACACACACACACACACACACACACACACACACACACACACACACACACACACACACACACACACACACACACACACACACCAAATGCAACGCACCACAATGAGTGATACATTATAATACAGCATGCAGGATTTTATGTCGGTAGGAAAATGTCGAAAATGAATAAATGGTATTCCAAATGTGAGTTATGGGATGGTTTTTCATCTGATCGTGTTTCAAGGGTGTCACGTGTTGTTTAATTACGCAAAAACGAATAACGCGCCGTCTCTTTTCGTCTTTCTCCCCCCGAAACTTGGTTTTATTTCTTAGTGATTTATGTTTCATTTAGGCTTCCGTGTTGTTGCTGTCGTACATTGGACATTTAATGCAAGTTATTCTGACAAAAAATTATACGAACAATAAGAAATAAACAATATATTTATTTAAATTAAACTTAACTGATATATTTTTTCAAAATTCCCTAGAACTTAAACGCAAAATCGTTTATTTATGTATGTGCACTATTTGATCGAAATTATAATATTTAGACTTTAATAAAAAAAAAAATCAAAAATGCAATAGCCTACTGTGTGTATCTTTGTAGGTGTTGTTATAATAATTGTTTTGTTTTTGTAATAAGGCCTAATTACAATCCTGAATAGAAACCAATAAGTCAATACGTTACTCAAAACCTAGGCTATCAATATATTAATTAAACTAAAAACGAATATAGGCTACATATTGATGTAGGAAGTGTTCCCACATTATTTCATCATTAGACCATCTGTTTAAGTTTTCGCATTCATCGTAAATACACAACGATATTGTAAACTATTAACATATATAAATATATTAATAATAAATATATAAAGACCTGAATGATGAAGCATAGCATTTGCCATATTCCATGAACTGAAACAAGTGTTAAATAAATAGATGTATATATCCACTAATAACCACCAATAGAACAATAATAAATGCAGACTATACTATACTTTTTCGGCAGAACTGCTCCATGCAAGCATTTTCTTTCGGTTGGATTTATTCTCCAGAGTAGGATCAGATATGGCCAAAGTGTAATTGAGGATTTGACAATTGCACGGATGTCTTTGAATGACTCTGTTGAAGTTGTAGCTGCCACATGAGGGAACAGTGTAACACATGAATCCCTCACTCAGTATTTGAGCCGACACGGTGATAAATATGATTTTAATATAATGATAAAGCAGCTGGACGGCGCGTGCACAGCCTCAGTGCGCGGTGTGAATTATTATATAAAAAAGTATTGTTTTAAATATTTGACTGCTGCCAACTGCACAGGACAGTGACATAAAGATGTGAATTGACCTGAATAAACGGGAGGATGTGAGTGAAAAGCGGCAGCTGAGAGGACGTCTCGCGCCCGGTCATGCAGTCCAAGGGGCACGCGCGCTTCGAGCGGTATCGCGCGGTACCAGGAACAGCCCGGACTTAAACTCTTGAAAGAGTATTATAATTGATTTATTTCGTTTTAACTAGCATTCTTAAAGCAATATCCTATTTATTAATTTTCAAGTTCAATTAATGCGACTAGGCTACTAGTCATTATTGTCTTTTGTTTATGTTATTGCTTTTGTATCAGTAACATTTTACCTTTGTGCTGTTTTAATTATTTGTGTTATTTTAAACAGCTGTTCTCACTTGATTGTTTGGTTCAGCTTTAAAACAAATTTAATGGGGCGGAAACGTGGCTATTTAAAACGGCTGTTATTTCGTTTTAAGACAGTTCTTCCTAAAAAATAAGCAGCCATTTATAGAAGTCGTGATGCCCCTAAGTTTTAATATATTTGTTCAGGCCACATCTAGCCCCGGATTTAAACACTTACCTAAATATATTGGATTCCAATTGGTTAATTGACTGTCAAAAACAAATACAATATGTAGGCCTATCTATAGTATTTGAACGCTGTGAGTGCAGATCAGTAGACAGCCTTACCGTGAGCCTTGTCTCCCAACATGAGAGCAGACAGCAGCCGGGCAGGGAGGATCTGATCTGAGACCTGCTGGAGGAGTGCAGCCTGCTCCTGAGACCGATGAACACAAAGATAGTCCGGATGCTCAGAGTGTGTGCTGCTGGAGCCAGAAGGGCCGCTGTTAGGCTGAGTGTGTGAGGAGGACCATGGAGATCTCACAGTGAACTCCTTCCGTCCACTCGCTCTTTACTGCGCTTCTCTTATCACTAAAGTTACACTGCCGCGACGCCATTGGTGGACGTGGAGTCACGTGACGGATGCTCGCTGTAGATGGAGGAGACGCAGAGGAGTCTCTATGATTAGAGAGAGATTCTAAAATGTTCCTGAATGTGTACACGCCTCTGAAACCCAGCCTAACTCTGTCAATATTAGCTTCACTAGAGGTGAATACTCCGGACCGGATACAATGTCAAGTTCTGCCATGATGCAGCTTTATTAAAATAATGATACTAATAATATAAATAATAATATAAATACTTGTACTACTACTACAAATACGGATGCTACTATACTTATAATAATAACAATTACTTACTAATTAACTAATTAATTACTTTTAGGTTATACATTCCACAGCATTAAGTCCAATTGTTCCCCACAGCGGACATCCTGGGCTTTTCAGACATATGACATATGTGGCTTTCAAAAAGATAATTTCATTGTATTTCAAAATGGCATCCATCAACACAAGCACTATTTGTAGAAAGAGAAATGGTAAGTTTGTAATTTTGTAATTACCAGTGTTGTGAGTTCAATATCTTTAATTACTTATAGTAAGGGAACATCTTAGGAGTTAGTGTAGTGAGTTTTCAGAGCAGTGTATTAATGATTTGACCTACAACTAAATGTTTTTATGAATGTCCTCTGAGGAGGACATGGGGATTTGCTAACTTTTTTTATTTCCCCAATTTTACACGACACAAATGGAGGCAGCTCACTAACCGAGGCAGAGAGAAATCTGAACAGAATCATTGAGGGAGACTCAGACATAGACCTGTCAGATGATGAAGATCCACAGGCAGGGATTGAGGAAGAGGAAGAGGTTGACTACTCAGAGGAGGAGGCATTGACTGAGGAAGAGCAGGAGACAGTTATAGAAAAAAGGCCCGTTGTCCACTATGGGCCAAAACACGTAGGTTTCTGTAGGGTTCATGGCAGACGGATGCAGTGGGAAAACACACATCAAGTGCCTCAAGTGTCAGATTTATCTCTGCATTTCAAAAAAGGATGCGTACTACAAATGAGGGCTCAATATTTGTTGTTGTGCTCTAATGTTGTCTAAATGTACTTGTATGTTAATGTTGTTTGTATACTATGCTTCGCATAACTAACACCAGGGGGGTATACTACGAAACTGGTTCTCTTTTTAGCAGGCGAGATCTCCATGGTAATTTATGCTGAGTGGCTAACCTGCGCCGGAGGCGTCTATCGTTATTCCAACCCAGTTTAGATTTAACCACGCCCACTTCCACATTACGCAAGGATCGACGTAGCTCTACTTGATAGCGTCATAGACGCGCGCGAAATACACACAGCATTATTTAATGATACTGTTTTATATATATATATATACTGTTTTTATTATATTGTGTTGTTTTGTTTATATATATATATATATACACAAATGTATTCATTTATAAACATATATATATATATATATATATATATATATATATATGAACACACAC